CCCCAAAACCCCAAAACCCCAAAACCCCAAAACCCCAAAACCCCGAGTTAGTGAGAAGCATTGATTTTAAATAAAATTCCTAAATCCTAAATTAGTTTTATCGGGCTCCATTAAAATGGAGTCTCTACGGTCTCTGGCTGAATGCTGGCTGTGCTTCCTACTGAAAGTCTCCCTTGGTCTTCTTCAGACTTCTTTGCAAATAGCTTCCTGACGTATCCTAGTATTTTCCAGAAGTTTCCTGTGACGATCAATATGATCAGAAGGAAAACTGAGAAATTGCTAAGGATATCGGTTCAAACTCTAAACCCGAAGTATGAGTTCAGATGGGCTCCGAGGAGAGGTCCGATAATACTTCCAAGCCCAAAGGCTGAGTTATACAAACTTGAGGCTGTGTTGATATAGTTCTGTGTATTCTTAACAAACTTTTCCTTAATTTCGGTCATGATCATCGGCATCAGAGGGATAACAGCGAACGAAGCTGAAAATCCAAGTAGTGAGATTCCTGCAAGCATCACCCAGATGTTCTCTTGGAATCCCCAATAGTATGAAGGACCAATTAGTAGGAAAGCCACTCCCATTAGAAGCTTTCCGATTCACAAAAGGATCTGTGAATCTATCTTCTCCATCACTTTCACAACGATCAAAGCTGATACTACTGGGAAAATGAATGGAAGAGCGAAGAAAAGGCCATACAGCTTTTTGTCCACGTTTAACTCAGAAAGTCTCTTAGACAAGATTGCAGGAGCAAAGTTAAGCAGAACCATGTCTACTACTGACAGGATGAGGCATTTGAGGATTATCTATACAATAGTTAAAATTTGAGTTCATGGCGTCACAAGATTTGAATAATGACGTATTAGAGTGCTAAATCTAGCCTTAATAGGTATAGATTTATTCCATAGAAATATAATTCGAGCATACCTTATTCGATAGAAGTCTCCACACAAGTTTGAATGGGTTGATTCTTGAGTTGTTGACAATTTTAAATTTTGAACCTGTCTCGGATTTCATACCGAGGGTTTGAATTCCAGATGAATGGTTGGATTCACCTAGTTCGATGTCTCCATCAATGTTTCTCTCATTCTTGGTATTGGATTCTTGTTCCATTGGCTTGGCTGGGATTATTCTTGCCACAAAGGGGATACATAGCAGCATAATCACACTGTATACCAAAAATGGCAGAAAGTACCCTCCAATAATGTACAAGACAGTTCCAACAAGTAAACCGATTAAGAGTCCACCTCCTAACAACAAGTTAATTTTATTCTTATTTCAAAAAATATGAAATCTCAGAAAGAAGCTTACCGATTGTTCCCTTGAACACAGAGTTGATCTTCATGAAGTCTCCGCCCTCATACTGGGTGGAAAAGATTGAGTAAGTCGTAGTGTACAAGGCAGCGTTACTGGATCCTTGCAAAATACGAAATGAGAGTCCGAGATAGACCATGAGGTTCCTAAATTTAAATTTTGTGTCCAAACTTACTTATCCATAAAAATAATTGATCCGAATCCTGCGACAGAAGCTGCCTATATTAAAAGGGTTAATCACCGTTATAAATCAGTTAAAGACTTACATAAATAACTGCACTAATAATGAAAACAGCTCTCTGATTGATGAAATGGAGCACAGTAGGCATCACCAAAGAGACAATAACGAATGCTGAAGGGTATGCACTGAAGATATACCCGACTGTCTTAAGGTCTACTCCCTTCTTCTCTGCTTCTGGAGGGAAGAAGGGCCCAACAAGAGCAATAGCAGCATTTAGAATCACACTGACTCCCATAAGGGTAGATACCACAATATTAACTTTCATTTTTAATTATTATTGTTAACACAAAGTAAATATTTATATTTCAGCCGGTTCACCTGGTGTAGGGGTTTTGGGGTTTTGGGGTTTTGGGGG